AAACCCATCAATCAAAACCACGAGATGTTTCCTCGGCTCTGGTCTGATGAATTCTACAAAGCTTGGAAGCACTGGGTCCTGCCGCACGCCGCCGTTTCGATCGAGCGGAGAGATGCCGACGACGGAGTTGAGCAACTGTTGCTGGGAAGAATTGCTCCCAGTTCAGATTCAGATTCTTCTTTCCCGATTAGGGTTGGAGAAGACCGAACTGTAAGTCTTGTTCGAGTCGTTTCGTTGCCTTGTTCTAATAGTGATTATGTGTTTAAGCTTAGTTATACATCAATGGTTCTGAAATGCTTGAGTGAGTTGAAGGATGGGGAGAGAAATGAACTGGGTTTGATTTTGGGAGCTGGTATCATGAATGGTGGAAGAATGTGTAGAACATATGGGTTATGGGGTAATTTGGAGGATGGATTTCTGTACTTAGTATGTGAGAGACGCAATGATAACTTAGTGGATAGGATTAACAATTGGATTAAGAAACTTGATATCAGAAACAAGGTTGGCTTGAACAAAGATGACTTATGCAGTTTTGCCTTGATTGCCACCGAGTTATGTGAAGCAATCATCGCTATGCATTCTCTGAGGTTAAGTATTGGCTTTCTTAGTCTTTCATGTTTTGGTGTTGGTGAATTTGGTAGTGTTTGTGTTGATTTAAATGGGGTTTTGACGACGGGAAGAACTGTTCGAACAGCGGTGGAAGCTGTTTCTACCGGATCAAAACTCGATACCAAGGAACTGGGAATTATTATTAGTAATCTGATGAAGAAGGAGGTTTTTGTCAGCCCGGAGGTATTACTCAAATTACTGCATAAAGAAGACGTTGTGCCGGAATGTGGCACGACTCTATGCTCGGTCGGGAACAAGTGCGATATTTGGTGTTTGGCGTTTGTTTTGCTGAGTCTTCTTCTCGGAAAGGAATGCATTGTGGTGAGTTTTGAAGAAATTCATTCTGATTGCTCTGTCTTTTATGGGAGTTGGGTGGAGAAAGTTAATTCTTGTTTGAACACGAAGTTCGGTTCGGAGTATTCATCATTGAATCAGACACTCTGCCGTTCTTTAAGTTTTAATCCCGAAAACCGTCCATGTGTTGTTGAACTGTTGAGATGCTTTAGGGAACTGATTGTTGGTTCTGAGTTGGATGCTTTGGGCAGTTTGAAACTTGTAGTTGATGAATATGGTGCTGATCATTGCTTGGTTCTGGGGGATCTCATTCAACTTCCCCACGAATTGACTGAAACTCAGAGCGACGATATGGATCGAATTGGGGCGGAAAGAACAACTAAAGCTTTTGTTGATGGGCTATCAGCTGGAATGGTGAAGTCCAGCGACATGCTCGGCCATCGTGATAGCATTACTGGTTTAGTAGTTGGTGGTATGTACAAAATTTCATTATGTTGTGCCCTGGCGTTCATTCCTTTTTAAAATGCTTCCTTTCTCTTGTTTTGTAGGGGGTTATCTGTTTAGCTCGTCATATGATAAGACGGTCCAAGCATGGTCTTTACAAGTAGGTGTTTTACTGAATGAATCCGATCTATTCTTCTTATTTTCGAATATGAGATCATTATTTGTGCCCCTGTTTCTGGATATTGTTAGGACTTCTCTCATGTACATACATTTATCGGGCACGAGCATCGTATAACGGATTTGGCATATATCGATGAAGAACAGCCGTTGTGTGTAAGTGCTGATATTGGTGGTGGTATATATGTCTGGAGCATTGCTCTTCCTCTCAAGCACGATCCATTGAAGAAATGGTACGAGGAGAAGGATTGGCGCTACGATGGTATTCATGCGTTGGCCTACTCCGAAAATGGGTGCCTTCATACCGGTGGAGGCGATAGATCTATTAAAGCATGGTCATTGAAGGTAACTACGTTCTTAAGTACAGTGATGAGTGATTATATAAGTTGTCTGGATTGAATACTTTTTACTGAACTTTGGAAGTCTTGCCTCTTAGGATGGCACCTTATCTGGCTCCATGCATGGTCATAGGTCAGTAGTTTCTGCTCTTCTGGCTAGTAATGGCATTCTTTACAGTGGCAGTTGGGATGGAACTGTTCGGTTATGGAGTCTTTCCGATCGTAGTCAGTTGGCCGTGCTCGGGGAAGAATCAACTGGAAGTTTGGGTTCTGTTCTGTGTCTTGCTGCTAACACGGACATACTTGTTGCAACTCATGAAAATGGATCTATAAAGGTTTCAGTTTCTTCCAACTTTGCTTCTGCTATATAAAATTTCCCTCTCAGCTCATGCATGTAACCGTCCAAGCCCACCGTTAATAAATATTGTTTTCTTTGGTCCGTTACATATCGCTGTTAGCCTCACGATTTTAAAACGCGTCTGCTAGAGAGAGGTTTCTATATCCTTATAAATAATGCTTCGTTCTCCTCTCTAACCGATGTGAGATCTCACAATCCACTCCCTTGGGGGCCTAGTGTCCTTGCTGGCACACCGCCCGGTGTGTGGCTCTAATACCCTTTGTAGAGTTGCCCCCTTTGGGCTTTCCCTTCCGAATTTCCTCTCAAGGTTTTAAAACGCATCTGCTAGGAAGAGGTTGCCACACCCTTATAAAGAGTATTTTGTTCTCCTCTCCAACCGATATGGGATCTCATACATCAATATTCATTAGGTTGAAAATCCCTTACAAGAGTTCGAACACATGACCTCTTTCATTACTTTGCTCTTTTGATGATAGAGGACTAAACCTATGATTTTGTTTGCTTCAGCTTTGGAGGAACGATGTATTTATGAAAACCATGAAACTACACGATGGCGCCATATTCGCCATCAGCATGCTGGGGAAACAACTCGTCACCGGGGGTCGGGACAAGGCCATAAATGTACAGGTACATATCCAGAAGTTGATCTGGAAAATACCCTTGAATCGATCCAAGTTCGAAATACAATCCCGTTTTTTTTCTTTCTCTAACATATCAAGACAACGATTCGTAGGAGTTATTCGACGACGAGCTCGAGATTGATTGTAGACATCTTGGATCCATCCCTTCAAATTCTACAGTAACAGCATTATTGTGTTGGCAAGACAAACTTTATGTTGGATATGCAGATAGGTGCATTAAGGTATGTGCATTAGCTATCTATACGTTTTACAAATCGGACAACAGAGTCCTCACTAACAGATATTGTCCTCTTTGGATTTTCTCTTTCAAGTTTCTTCTCAAGGTTTTTAAAACACTTGCTAGGGACAGGTTTCCACCTCTTTAGAAATAAAATGCATTCTCCTCCCCAACCGATGTGCAATCTCACAATCCACCCTCATTCGAGGCCCAGTGTCCTCGCGGGCACTCACTGCCTTCTCCAATCAATGTGGGACCCCCCAATCCACTCCCCTTTGGAGCCCAACGTCCTTGTTGGCACACTGCCTCGTGTGTACCACTTTGGGGCTTAGCCATACCATTTGTAACAGTTAAAATCCACTGTTAGTAGATATTGTTCCCTTTGGGCTTTCCCTTTCGGGTTTCCCCTTAAAATTTTAAAAATGCATCTATTAAGGTGAAGTTTCCACGCCCTTAAAGAATGTTTCGATCTCTTCTCCAACCCACATGGGATCTCACAAGAGGGCTTGAACCGTTATACCAACACTATGTTCTTTGAGGAAGAAAAAAAAAACGTCTTTTTGTTTTGATTTAAGGTGTTTGTGTAATCTTACTGAAGCATTGTGCGAATTTTTCTGGTGTCTTAGGTGTATTACTATGGAAAATGATACCTATTTCAATGGATCTGCTGAGCAAATTTCCATGGCAGAAAAGATTAGAATAGCACTTCAAAGGGAGCTTCCATTAGCTTCATGTTGTAATTATTTTTAATAACAATTTGGTTAAATTTATTTTATAATGCTTTTTTTTTAAATAAAAAAAAAAATAAATATTACAAAATTTAAATAACCATTGCTGAACTTATATTTTTTAATATAAACTATGGAAATTAATATGGAGCTACATAATCCTAGATAGAATACAATGAATATAGGTATGATTTTTATATAATTGAATGGAAAATAGAATAATCTTAAAATTGAAAAATGAAATTTAATGAAAAGATGAAAAAGGTATGATTTTCCCAAGTTGGGAAATTTTGAATTTGGTCGCAAAATTATTCTGTTTTGTTATATAAGGTCCAAAGTCAATAAAAATAAATAAATAAAAACAAAAACCAAAGTAGAAGAAGAATAAAGTAAGGTTTTATTTATTTATTTATTTATTTATTTATTTTTCAATTTCCTTTATAAGCATAGCATCTTGTTCCTCAATTTTTGTGTTCATTCATATTATTCCATTTAGTTTCATCTGTTTTTGTGAAAATTATTTTTGGACCACTTCGATTTAAATCCCAATTATTCTTCTTCGTCTCATTTACCTTTATTAAAGTATTAAAGTTTAAAAAGATAAATAGTAAATTATACTACGCCTATTTTATTTTATTCTACTCCAGTGACTCACAGCTCATATAATTATGAAATTTTTTTATAAAAAAATTTACTTAATCTTGTTAATAAATTAATATATCAATCAAGTTTGAATATATTAGATTGGAATTTAATACTTTAAATCGTGTAGAGTTCGTGATTATCATGTTAAAAAAAATATAGGAAGAGTTTTTAATGAACGAGATATGATGCCTTTTTTTACCTAGGAGGGTCCAAACAAAATCGATGAAATAGAGTCCTTAATCAAACTAAAATTTATTCTTCAATGTCGAGATGAATTTATTATTTGGTAAACTCGATCAAGAACATAAAACCCCAGCGATGGAGTACTTCAAAAAAAAAACAAAATGATCTCAATTACCCTTTGGAACCGGGTCGATTTAAATCTCGACCTATAAGAAAGAGAATACATGTTTTAACGGTTGAATTACTCATTTTTTTCTTAAAAAAAAACTATAATGAAAATGAGATTTGTAAAATGTAATACCCAAATAAAGATGAAATAGATTGTGGATTTTTGTAGAACTCTTAATTGGATGAAATTATAAAAGTGAATAATGGAATATAAATACCCCACTCATTGAGTTTGAGACGAGCAAACCCCAAGAACTGCTTCTTTCTCTCTCTCTCTCTTGGAGTTGTGTTCAGGTAATTAATCCAAGTTTTGAGCTTTATTTTTGGGTAAGAAATTTGTTTTGGTGTTGATGTGATTTACAGGCAAGCGGCCCCATGGGTTACCCAGATGAGATGCAGAAGCAGAAGCAGAAGCAGAAGCAAGCAGGTGAAGAACAGTCGCAACCACGAAGAAGTGGTCGAGGGAAGATTGAAATCAAGAGAATTGAAAACACAACAAATCGCCAAGTCACTTTCTGTAAACGCAGAAATGGTTTGCTTAAGAAGGCTTATGAGCTTTCTGTTCTCTGTGATGCTGAGGTCGCTCTTATTGTCTTCTCCACCCGTGGTCGCCTCTATGAGTATGCCAACAACAGGTCCACTAACTCCTTCTCCCTTTTCCTTAATTGTAACCGCTCAAGTCCACCGCTGGCTATTTACGTATAGCTATTAGTCTATGGCTTTAAAATTTATGAGATTCTACATGGAACTAACGGAAAAATCCACTAGATAATAAACTATTGGTTCTAAGCCATCTTTGATGATGAATCAACAATCTGAAGTGCTTTTCTTGCATATTCTTGATAAACAGGCGTTTATATATACCTATAGGAAGATCTGTTTGGGAAGTACGCAGCCCCTTTGACATCTCTTCGTTTGCAAAGAATTTTCGATGCCAAAACATAGAGACAAAAGACCGATCTTTGAATAGGAAAAAGAGAGGATCTGTAGGATCCTAAATGAATTGGCTTATTCGAAAAAAAGTCTTGTTCGTTGGAAGATCTATCTCGTGTTTGGTACTGCACAGTTTTACTCTACAAGAACTCCGAATCATTCTCTTCATCAGAAATGACCCGCTTGCCCTGAAATGACCTAGCTCAATAGAAAATCCCAATTCATTGGACTTTTCGATGCAATCAAATTGAAAGCCCGAAAGGCGCAGAAACATACTTTATTAGGGCATGAAAACCTCTCCCTGGTAGAGGCTCATGAATATAAGTAACGGACTAAAACTAATAGTACCTACTAACTGTGACCTGATGAATATCTTACGTTCGAGTAAAACAATAATTTTACTAACAGGACAGAGTAGGGACGAGGTTAAGAAAAACGAATGGGAACAACATTGTTAACCTCGACGCTACACCGTCATTATAGTCGAGTCTAGATGATTAGATTGATGATATTGAAACCCTAAGAAGAATGTTATTGAAGCAATGAAGAAATTTGAAATAACTGTTGCAGTGTTAGGGCTACGATTTCGAGGTACAAAAAGGCATGCTCGGATCCCTTAAGCGCCGGGTCCGTTTCGGAAGCCAATACACAGGTATCGTATCCATTTAGGGTTCTTCTTCTTCTTCTTCTTCTTCTTCTTCTTCTTCCTCCTCCGATTGTTTAATCGTAACGGTGGCTCTGTTTCAGTTCTACGAGCAAGAATCCGCGAAATTGCGAGCGCAAATCGGGAATATGCAAAACCTAAACAGGTAATTTGATTTTGATTTTGATTTTGATTTTGATTTTGATTTTGATTGATTGAATGAGTCATATTTGTGTTTCTGAGCGTTGGAATTGAAGGCATTTGTTGGGGGAATCCATCAGTTCGTTGTCGGTGAAAGATCTCAAAAGCCTGCAGGTGAAACTGGAGAAGGGAATTAGCCGAATTCGATCCAGAAAGGTAACTCTCTAAATTCCACCCAATTAATTAAAAACCCTAATCTAATTTGGATTTCAATGATGACGAGGGGTTTATAATCAAAGAATACTATTTCTATTGGAATAAGAGAGAAGTCCAAATAAAGTCACGAGAGCTTATACTTAAAGTGGACAATATCATGCCATTGTGGAGAGTCGTGTTCGTCTAACATGATATCAAAGTCATGCCCTAAACATAGCCGTGCCAATAGATTGGTAAATTCTCAAATGTCGAATAAAGGACGGATTCCAAAAAAAAAAAAAAAAAGGAGTCGAGCCTCGATTAAGGGGAGGCGTACTTTGTTCGAGGGGAGGTGTTGAATGATGAAAGTTTCACATCAACTAATTTAGAAAATGATCATGAGTTTATAATAAAAAATACTTTCTCGAAGTGGAGGTGTTGGATGATGAAAGTCCCATATCCCTTAATTTAGAGAATGATCACGAGTTTATAATAAAAAAAAATAATCTCTTTATGGGAATGAGAGAGAACTTATGACAATATCATACTATAACTAGACAACATTATACCATTGTGGAGAGTCGTGTCATTTTTCTCATTTTTTGTGCACAGAATGAGGTTCTGTTTGCGGAGATTGAGTACATGCACAAAAGGGTATGCACTTTTCTTGCTTTACTTTTATTCATTTTACATTTCTTTTATTTTAACTTACAAAGTATTTTAAATATTCAACCATTTGCAAATAAATACAGGAAATTGAACTGCACAACACCAACCAGCTGATACGAGCAAAGGTACGGTCTGTTCTAAAAATCTGTGTTCAATTTTTCAATTTTTTTTTTATTTTTTATTTTTTATTTTTTGGTTCTACACCGATTTATATTAAGATTTTTATTTCTGCACTTCTATTAATACATCATGCCTTTCTAGTCTAGTTTAATAAATATTTTTGGGATATTTTTTATAAAATAATTTCAGTTCAATAATTACATGACGAGGATAATACGTCTTTAATTTTTCAAAATTCAAAAAATATTCATGAATCAAAGATGGAAACGATACAGGGTACATATATCAAAGATAAGAATTTTAATTTTTAGGATATTAATGCTATTTTAGAATGTTTGTGGATATTTTTGAAAATTTTATCAATAATTTTGTCTATGAATTGATATTTTAAAATTTAAAAGAGTATTTAAAAATTAAGTATATTATTTTTATACCATTCATTCAAATCCATAATGTATCGTATTTAATATAAAGTGATCTCTTATATACCTTATGATATACCGTTTCTAAATTTTAATATTTGTAAGCAAGAATAATATTTTAAAATTAGAGTTAGGAAAGGCAGAAATTATGAAATAGATAGATGTTTTGGAGTCGACATGAACATAGTTTAAAACGAATACGTAAATGGTATGAATTTGCAGATAGCGGAGATGGAGAGAAGAGAACAAAACAGAAGTGGAAATAACAGCATAGGTGCAAGAGGAGAAGGAGAAGGAGAAGGAGAAGGAGAAGGAGAAGGAGAAGGAGAAGGAGAAGGAGAAGGATGTGTGGGTCCAAATTTAGAGGGTAATGAGCAATACTACTTTCCCCATCAAAATCACCATATCTCCCTGCAACTCATCTAACCTCATCCTCCCCCATCTACAAACTCTTCTACTTTTCTGTCTTTTTCTATGACAACAAACAATCATCCTTTCTACTTTCATACCTCCTAATCTAAGAACCACCAATACATATAGATTTAGGACACCTACACGATAGCGACACATTTCTTTTTGAGGTACGTACGAAAAGTGTTTATATAACAGTCCACTTTACCGGCTTGTTACGTATCACCGTCAGCCTCATGGTTTTAAAATTCTTTATAAGGGTGTGGAATCTCTCCTTAGAAAACTCGTTTTAAAATCGTGAAGTAGACGGCAATACGTAGCTAGTCAAAGCGGACAATATCTTTTAGTGGCGAGTTTGGACTATTACAGATGGTATCAAAGCCAAACACAGAGTCATGTGTCAATGAGGATATTGGGCCGCCAATGAGATTGAATTGTGAGATCTCATATTAGTTGGAGAGGAGAACAAAACATCCTTAAGAGAGTCTAGAAACCTCTCACGAAACCTCTCGCTAATAATAGATACGTTTTAAAATTGTAAGGCTAATAACAATATGAAACATGCCAATATTGGTAAAAATAGACATAGCTGACTAATGAAAACAACAATTTAGTAGCATTTGTAGACAACAATTACAGCTACAATAATACAGACACCAAACAAAAATAGTAACTAATGAAAACAAGTATGTATATAATTTATGAACCATACAACATAATTATAAAACCCATAACATATATCTTCAAATCCATCTTAGAGTTGTGCAAGTCGACGAATATCGATCGGGTATGCATCGGTTGGACGTTGAGCGCTGTAAGCTCTCCGCCCGATCACAGCATTCCCAGCTTCTGTTGGATGAAATGCATCCCAAAATAGATACTCATCCCTGTTTGAGCATGGAGTTTGAAAGGGTAGACATGTGATTTGCCCATTGTTCCTTCCAACTCCACAGCACCCAGTGTTCACAACCCTAAAACCTGATATAAACATTCATCGACTAAGTCACGTTCTATTCTGATATCATGTTAAATTACGGTCGATCAATTTAATAACACGAAATCTTACCGAAGGCAGGTGGATTGTCAATGACATCTTGAAAAATGCCAAAAGAATCAATGTAGATAAACTTAGCATCAGCTTGATTGTTGTTAAATTGATCAACCAAAGATCTAAGACCAGCATTGAATATTTGATTGGCTGAGTTGATCTTTTGAACACAAGTCCTTCCATCTGGGCTGTTCTGAGCCAACTCATTTGGACTGCAACCAATCTGACCAAGTCCAAACAGCACAAACTTCCTAGCTCCATAGTTGTACAAAAGCTACAAAAACAGAACCAACAACGGCACGTAAACAAACGGTCAGTCAGTCGATATTCGAGCTGAAATTCACGTAAAGTTTAAATTTTTCAAGCCGGGTTTCAGCCGGTGTACCCTAAGCTGATCGGAATACTGTTGGAGAAGGTTTTCAGAGTATTGTTGAGGTGTAAACTGGTTGCCTGTTGAGTAAAATTGAGGCATGAAATAGTTGTTGAGATAGTCATTACTTCCCAACCCTATTGAGTATATGCATTTACTGAGATAAGCTGCAGCTGAGTCCTCATCTCCAAGCAGATCCACCACTTGAGACACTGTGTTTTGGTAATTCTCCACTTGCCCACTAAAGCTTATGCGTCCTCCCTATTAAACATATAACGCGTTACCATTAAATGTTTCGATGTTTTTCAACAGTTCAAAATTATGCAATGGTCGGTATAGTTTGAGTAGAGAAAATGACTGAAAATCCTTGTGTCACTAGTTCAAATCTAATTCTAGGCACATCATGAATTATCTATTCTACCGATTTATTAATAAAATAGATTATGAAAAATACGGACACAGGGGACACAATTTTGAAAAGGGATTAGCAATTGTGATATGAAAAAGATGGAATGAAATTTATATACCAATTGGCGACCAGTTTCCTCTCTGATTCCGGCGGCGGCGGATGCATAATTAATGCCTCTGAGGATGTCTCGACCTCTTGCGGTGGCGTAGGGAGGGATATAATCGTCAAATCCTAATAGCTCGGCTGCATTCATTTAATTCAAAATATTAACAAAACCTCTAATTTAATCTATTTTTAAAAATTTTAATTTTTATCCCTAAATTTGTACTCTCTTTTTTTAATTATTAAATTATCTTTTTTACTAACTTTACTCATATTTAAGTCCGATCTAAGCCTAGAATTGACTATTAAATAATTTTGTCGAAACATGTGAATTAAATAATAAGAAGACAAATCTAACACATGTTTTTTAGAAATATTTTACAATTTATTAAACACACGAAAATAATTTTTTAATAAATTTTTTTATCATCAATCTTTTAAAAAAAAAGTTTAAGATAAAAATTACCACATTTATCTAAATTTAGAGGGTATAATTAGAGTTTAAAGCTAATTTTTATACGTTAAAAAAAAAAACCTTAATTTATTAATTCTCAGAAAAATCTACCGCGTGAGTGAATAAAAAGGTCATAAATATTTTGAAATTAATTTGCATGTGCATGCAATTTAAAGTGAGACAGGCACACACTCCAACATAACTCAATTACAGCCTATTCAATGCAAACTTCAACTTTATTAATTTTGAAATGTTTATGAAAGATCGAAAATTAGAGATGAAAAGATTACCGATAACATCGACAGTGGTTTTGCCATTGGAGAACCTTCCAGTGGGTCCACCAAAATCAATCCCATAAGGCAAATAATCAGCTCTAGCCAAAGATTGAAGCTGGTTGTTGTTCCCGTTGTCCACCAATGAATCACCAAAAATGAAGTAGCAGGGAACTTGCTGCGCCGCCGCGGCACTACACAGCAGGGTCACAACCACCGCCCACACCGCCGCGCTGTAATGCTCCGCCATTCAACTGATTATATGTAGAAAAGAGAAAAGGTTTAAATATATGTGTGTGTATAATGGGCAAGGGGAAAATGTATGTGAGTTTGGGTTTATATAATGGAGAGGGAAATTAATTTATAATTTAAAAACAAAAAGAAATTAATGGCAGTTGAAGGAGGAAGGTTGGAAGCATTTATTTCACGCGGATATAATGTGTTGGGACTGAGACATAACACACTCAACTATGCGGCTTCGTGTGCATAAACAAAATGTCTCTTTCTTTCTTTCTTTTTATTTATTTATTTATTTAACAAAAGCTTCAATTATTTACCAAATTATGTGTTTTTTCTTTTTAATTATCACTTTTTAATTACTCCCTAATAAATTTCTTAATTTTGTGTCGATTTATGAAATTTTTATATACACCAGTAGATTTAGTCTGCTTTAGTCCGTTATCTAATGTTTGTTGGATGAAAGTGTCCCACGTTGGTTAATTTAGGGAATGGTCGTGGGTTTATAATCTAAGAATACATTCTCCATTGGTATGAGACATTTTGGGGAAACCCAAAACAAAGCCATGAGAGCTTATGTTCAAAGTGGACAATATTATACCATTGTGGAGAGTCGTGTTCGTCTAACAATGTTGTTAGCCACACAATTTTAAAATGTTTCGTTCTCCTCTTGTGGGGTTTTACAATCAGAATTACTCACTAGGTAGTGTACCAACCAGGACATTAGGTCCCGAGAGGGTGGATTGAGGGATTTTATATTAGTTAAAGAATCGGGTGGATTGAGGGATTTTTAAACTATGAGATTGACGGCGATACATAACGAGTAAACTTGTGCTGTTACAACAATAAAGTTACGTGATTGCCGACATGAATTATTCATCTAAATCCTTTGGAGAATGAGCTTGGTTTGTATTAAAGTTTGGTGTTAAATTTTGATGTAGGTTTTGTTTGCATAAGATGTATAGTAATAATAAGTCCATTAAGTTCCATTTGTTTGTGACCATATTCACTATGCAATTTCCAACGCTCATAAATATGAATAAATGTGCATTACTCAGCAGCGGAGAAATATAAATTTTAGACAGCTACCTTGATTAATATAATGAACCAACTTTGGGTTTGGATTATGATATAATAGTATGGAGTTTTAGGTAAGATTAATTCATTATTTTCCTTTTAATACCTCAGATTTTATTTTGATTTTGATTTGTATCTTATAATACTCATTTCAATTAAATATGGCGGATTTTATTTATTGGGTTTGTTGGACAGCTTAAATTAAAGGTGTTTGGGTTAATTTTGGGTTTAAAAGGTTGGATTTTTAGGGTTTCACTACGTCAATTAGAGTTTAGGGCAAACAAAAAAGCTCCAATCCGTACACTTTCCCGCCTCTGGAAAGACGGCTAAATTAATAAAAATACTCTTTAATTTTGGGTTCTCTAAAAATATTTAAATTTTAAAAAAATATATCAAAATTATCTTAAAACTTATAAAATTAAAAAAAAATAATAATAATAAGTGAAAACATTAACTTTTTATTAATACCCTTAAAAAAGAAATTAAAACTTCAAAAATACCACGAAAATTTTGTAAACATTTTTTTTCATAAATATAAATGGTGTTAATACTACTAATATTTGTAAGTTGAAGAATATTTTTGAAACAAGGTAGTAATAGTTTCCTCCCAAAACAATATATACGATCCAAGTCAAACAGAGCTTAAAAAAGAAAGTGATATGAAAACATAAACTTTAAGGCACTTATAATAAATGAAGGTAAGGTAGGTAATGAAATTGAATGCGTTGAGAGGTAAGTCCCAATGGGAGTAACATGCAAACACACCAACCTATTGACCATTTAAGACATCTCATTTATACACTATGCATCCATCCACCAGGCTCTCCTCATTTATTATTTCAACCCCAACCCCAACCCCAACCCCAACCCCTACCCCCTTTTGTTTTTGGATTAAAAGTATGTAATCTTTCTTCTGAACTCCATTAACACTAATTAAATGGCTTCCCATCTTAATTAATTAAGAGATCAGAAAGTCAAAAACTAAATTACTGTAAATAATTCTTACAGTTCATTACGGCGTTGAGAAGTGGAGGAATAGAAATTCAAAGCCAAATCCTTGAGAATCTGAACCATGCCTTTCAAATCGCCACTTCCCAGCTCCAAACAGTCCTTCAGCAATCCACCGTTCACCACCTCCACTTGAACCGTCTCCACCACATCCCTCCAAGCCCCCTGTCAATCCCCAAAAAAACAACAAATACAGATTAATTGCATCATTTTA